CAGGATCTGAAGCAGGCTCTGGGATTTGAACCCTCAGTACAGAGCCGGATGCGGGGCTCGAACTCATTAACCTGTGAAATCATGACCTGAGCTGGAGGCAGATGCTCAGCCGACTGAGCCACCCAGGAACCTCTCAATTAAGCAATTTATAACAAAATGGACCTTAGTTTTTCAAAACTGCTTTATTGTGGAAAGATGTCGGACAGTTGTGTTAAATATCTGTTCTTCTCCTTGTGCTGAGCTGAAAATCTACCCAAGTCTTTTAGAGAAAAAAGAGCAAGCACTTGTGTCTGTTCTGGCAGGCTTCAAATATCGCAAGATAGTTGCCATAGGTCTTTTCTTTTCTGTGTTAAAAATCCTTTCTTTCTGAGAAAGTTTCCGTTTTCCCTAGCATCACACTCACCTCCTTAAAATATCTCTGCACCATCATTGTCCCCTTTTAAATATGTGATCAGAATTGTATACAATATAACAAATGTGGTATGTGATATGATGTATACATATGCATATATATAAAAATACATGCTATAAGGTTTTCTAAAATTACAGTAGTCTTTTAGCAGCCACAGTGCAGTGGTGGATTCCTGTTAAGCTTCCAGAGGACTACAAATACAAAATTTTTTTTAAAACCAAGAGTTTTCAAGTCAGGTTTTTCCTATCCTATATTTCTTCTAGTTAAATATTTTAAACATCAACACGTGATTATTTTTAAATGTTTTTCTATCTTCTACTGATTTAGGTATTTTGTTTCAATTCACTTATTTTTTTAATTAAAAAATGTTTATTTATTTTTGAGACAGAGAGAGAGAGAGAGAGAGACAGAACATGAGTGGGGGAAGGGCAGAGAGAGAGGGAGACACCAAACTTGAAGTGGAGTCCAAACCTGGAGCTGTCAGCACAGGACCTCACGTGGGGCTCGAACTCACTAACTATGAAACCATGACCTGAGCTGAAGTCAGATGTTTAACCAACTGAGCCACCCACACACCCTTGTTTCAAATCACTTATTATTTAGCAGTTATTGAGTTTGTACTATGTTCCAGGTACCATTCTAAACACTAGAGCTAATGATGGGAATAAGAGGTATAAATTCCTTGTTCCTCATGGCACTTACTTCCATCCTAGAGGGAACATCTATTGAAAATATCATGGTTCTTGAAGTAAAGAGCCTGGTTGTTAAGGGCATAAGCCTTACAACTTGGGCGAGAACCCTGGTTTCAGTTCTTTCAAGATGAGTGACCTTGGGCTCTTTTCCCCTTTTAACCTTATTTATAAAAGAGTGATAACGTGGGGCGCCTGGGTGGCGCAGTTGGTTAAGCGTCCGACTTCAGCCAGGTCACGATCTCGTGGTCCGTGAGTTCGAGCCCCGCGTCAGGCTCTGGGCTGATGGCTCAGAGCCTGGAGCCTGTTTCCGATTCTGTGTCTCCCTCTCTCTCTGCCCCTCCCCCGTTCATGCTCTGTCTCTCTCTGTCCCAAAAATAAATAAACATTGAAAAAAAAAATTTAAAAGAGTGATAACAACAGACGTAAGGCATAGTTTTTTTTTTTTTCAGGAATAAATTAAACAATATATGCACAACATTTATAAAGTGCTAGATAAATTCTATCATTACCATCCTCCTCTTCTTCCTCATCACCATCATCATCAGTATTAGCTATTTCTTTGTGTAACTTGCAGATTTGACAAGGTAGTGTGGCCTATGTCCCCATCCAAGTTTTATTACCTAAAAATAATAGTGTTGTATTTCTTTTGTTCAGGTGTTTTAATTATCGTAACTTGTTCACAATACTAACTCATTGGGGTTTTACTCCGGAGTTCCTCATATATAGCCTTTAGGAGTACATAGCTTTTTTTTTTTTTTTTTTTTTTTTTTTTTTTTTTTAAACATAGAGATTTGATGGAAAAACTAGGCAGTTATGAAGTAGCAAAGTAAACTGGGATAGATAATCATCTTCCCATCCTCTTAAGGCCAACTTAGTTTTAATTTAAGAGTCAGTCACACGTGAATTTAAATTCTCTTTCTACCACTTCATAGGTTCACACCCTTGGGTATATTCAATCTCTTTACACCTCAGTTGCTTCATCTGTAAAGTGGGGGTGCTGTGAGGGTTAAGTGTAATGGGAAAATAAATGGTTGTGAATAAAATCACCTTCTAGAGCCAGTCCCTTTAACAAATGAAAAGTACTTTGTGCTGCTGATGCCTTGAAAAATAAGTGTCTCTGCATAGTGAAGGAAGAGAAAAACTGATACCTCCAACATAATCCAGTAGGAAGAGTCTGGAGAAGATTGGAAGAAGTTATGACTCATTCCCATTACTTTCCAGTTTCAACGGACTTTCCTAAACCTATGATGGCTTGGTATTTTCTAGTAGCAGGGAGAAAGGACAATTTCACATCTGGTGGTACAGCAGGGATGTATAGTGGTGGTCTGGAAGGCAGGAAAAGCCAGAATGAGGCAAGCCCCCAGGGATTCACAGAAGTGGCGATGGTTTTG